CCCCGGCGGCCGTTGGCCGCGGCGCCCGCCCAGCCCCGGTGATAGCACTCAAAACTGCCCACTTTTATTCCTTCCTGCGTGTTAACGCTTCAGTTAAATACTACTCTTCAGCGAAGCTGCCCGAGTAAATATGTTTTCCTATACCTTAAGGTATGCCTCTTAAATACCTAGTCACTTTGTTAGCCTAGGGGAAGGAAAATAGCTTCAGCTGAGACATTTCACACAGGAAAGGGAACGCCTTTGTAACAGCCTTTTAAAACGCTTTCATTCCTTCCTGCGTGTTAACGCTTCAGTTAAATACTACTCTTCAGCGAAGCTGCCCGAGTAAATATGTTTTCCTATACCTTAAGGTATGCCTCTTAAATACCTAGTCACTTTGTTAGCCTAGGGGAAGGAAAATAGCTTCAGCTGAGACATTTCACACAGGAAAGGGAACGCCTTTGTAACAGCCTTTTAAAACGCTTTCTGGAAAAAAACGCAAAAAGAAACTTTGGGGGACAAAGGGAACCAACTGCGTCACAGCTTTTGTTCATGCTTCACTTCATAATCGCTAAAATGCAGGTGTTACTGATAACTGCATTGAAGCATTTAACTGCTTTTTGGCAGCTATGGTTATTAAATACATTAGAAAGAGAACTTAAATTTCTACACTTAACACGCACCTTACTCCAGGAATTACGTTTTACTAACAAAGTATTATTAAAGTTAAAATCTGGATTGCTTCTCAATATTCATGTTTTTTTCTTATTTGCCTTTTAGTTTGGGCAACAAACTAATCAAGGTTGGTTGTTCTATGCACTAGTCTACTGCACTTTTTCACTAGTTACAAAACCCATAGTATCACTGAGAAATTCTGCGGGATCATCTCACCAATTATGTATTTGCTTACTGACCATTACGCTCAGGAAGGGAAGTTAAAAGAAACAAAAATACTCAAAGAAAAAAAAAAACCCTGGCGGTCATACATTTACAGTTTTCAGCTTAGACTGGAATGACGCAATTTAGTAGAGGGAAAAATACAAATTTAAGTACCTCTTATTAACACAGTATCATGCAAACACCTGCCTGCTGACTTGTGATCTGCTTGGTCCAAGTTCAGTAATTTCACATCAAACTAGAGAAACTGAAGTCAGGAGAAGGAATTGTAACACAAGCTATTTCTTCTGCCAAACCCTTCCGCCCAATCAATTGGATGGTGAGTGGAGAGGACAATCACTTCTGGAGTGTTCAGAATACGCTTGGAAAGTATTCTGTATTTCAAGTACACTTGAAAGTACAACTTTTTACAAAACCTCAAAGTCAAAATTTAAGAAGTTCTACCTGCGTTTAACTTTCTACTCTCTCCCTAGAGGACAGCACTTCCTCTTTCAAGTACTGAAACTTGAATATACACATGGTAGAAAATGGAGGTGGGGGGAAAGTCAGCTCAATCTCAGTCTAGACTTGAGTATGTAACATTCAACTTTGTGATAGTTTTAGAATTGTCCATTAGAACAGTCAACCTCAGAAAAGTGAATGAAACCAATGACTCTAATTTTGACCATGAAAAATCTAGATTTACTTTTAAGAGATTCAACCTGCCTAACTAAAAATAATCCTGAAACATTTTACTTCAACTGGAGTTGAGGAAAATGCTTGTATGAGCAGCTTTTCCCTTTTTTGTTTTTTCTTCCCAAATGCTCTACAAAGTGCCTTACAAGCACTAAGGATTCCTGAGCAAATTTTAGTGCTCGAAGTGAAAAAGTTGTTTAAGTAACAATTTTTGTCAAAGAGAAGTGATAAGCAGGCCCAGTGGCTTTAAATCCCAGGCTTGGAGAGCATTTGGGGGCTTGGGGTTTTGTTTGTTTTCTTAAGTCTGTGCTAGACAGATTTTAGAAAGAACCTTTTACAAATGGCAGAGTAGCAACTGAAGTTCCTATTCAAGCGCTCTGCTGCTGTCAACTTCCTTTCTTTCAAAGGAAGGTTTACCCTACCCTCACCCCCTTACTTCTGCTGTCTTCTCACCTCACTTTTGATGCAAACATCCTTCTTGACAATTTAACATCATTGCTGGACAAGAAAGTTGTACCGTATCAGCAACTGTTTTGGAAACAAACTTGTTTCCCCAAGAAACCAAGAGGAATATTGAAACTTTAAAAAGAAAAGCATAGTTTTATTCTAGCCTGTCCTTTTAATGCTTGGAGAAAGGTTTGATTACATTTAACATGCTTTCAGCCTTTCTTGAAGGAATATCCAAACCACACCTGTATCACTGCATATTCTTCTATTCTTTCTCTTGCCTTCAGTTATTTTTACAACTGTTTCTGGCAGTCATTAGGAAAATACTAATGTCTCTAAAAGACTTGAGTTCTTTTACTTAGGAGAGTTGAGAGGTAAAGGGCAACATGACTGTCTAACTGAAAGAAAAAAAAAACACCCAAAACCAAAACACACACACAGCATCTAGGTCCCAGAGATGAGACAGGCACAAGAGTCACAGTTATTTAAAGTAGCCATCAAAACAGTCAATTATTTTAATGTTATAATGAGCTAGTGTAGCTGCACCCTAACGCCACTTCAGCGTAGTATTGAGGATTAAGGATGACCAATGAACTGCTTTTACAAAGAACCACACCAAAAAATGCTACTACAAGATCTTAAGTTTTTACTTTGCCATCAGTTTTCCAATAGAAAAAAACAAAAACACTTTCACAGCACACTGTGAGAATGTCACACCTAGCAACACTATATTCTGCTTGATAAAGAGCAGCATCAGAAAGAGCAATCAAGAAGTTAAAAAGTTGATCAGAATTTAATTCCAAACCATCACGCTACATTAGTTTATCTTTAAACATGGAGAGAAACTCTGCAAGATTGTTAGAGCTGGCTAAAAATTACAAAAGTGTTACACACAAACATTCAGAAAGACTGACATTGAGAATAAAAGCATTAGAGACAAATACTTTTGAGCTTTATTTGTGCACCTGTATGCAAAAAGCTTCTTTCAAAAATAATTCTAATCGGATTTGGCTCTCATAGTCTATGATTACTTTTCAGGTGAATGAAAATGATGCTGAACTCAGAATTCCAGTGTAGGCTACAAAATTAATACAGAGAATTGCTTTTGGCTTGCACTAAGTCCTGGGAAATACCTCTTTGTTAAGAATGAAGCTAACTGAACTTCCTCTTTGCTGTGCAGCCAGATCGCAGCCCCCAGTATTTCCTGGTATTCCAAAGTCCTCCTCTGCTGGCTGGTTTCTCATGGAATACCCAAATACATTCGCAGAGGTAGTTTGTGCCACACTCCCATTTACTTCAAATGGGAAAGTCCAGATTTTTGCATATATAGAGACATTGTTTTGTTAAATTAGCATTTTCATATGATTGCAGCCCGTAGTTTGACTTTTCATTTTGCTCTCAGGGGAGAAGGGTGAAAGGCTTTGACACTGTGCCTATAAACGATTTCCAACTAGCTTTTCAAGTAACAATAGGAAAGAGAAGAAGGGACTCTTCTAGAGTGCTTTCCCATAAATACTTTAGACAATCTAGAATTCAATTCGTTTTTTTAAATACTAAAACATATAAGCTCTGAATCATGCAAAACATGACCACCTCAGCTACATTAGTCTAATGTAACTGGACAGTTGGTGAAAGTGTCAGAACATCCATAGAGGCAGTGACATTCCATTCTCACAGTGCCAGCCTCATGTGTGGGCTAAGTTTAAAAAAAACAAAAAAACAAAACAAAAAAACACACACACTGACACATCACCATATGCTTGCTGTTTTCCATTTTGGTATTTGAAGTCAACCACCCTCTCAACAGTGGTAGCTGACGTTTACCACTGCACCAACATAGTCAGAAGCAGCAAATTTGTGTTTCTTCTTTTAGCAGCTTTACACTCAGTGCTATTCATCATATATAGGCGGGTCTCCATCACTTGGAAATGCAGACACTTTCTTTCCATGTTTCTGCACGTGATCTTCATTCACCTTCTCTAAAGCTTCAATCTAGAGATCCAAAAATAAACCCGTTCTGAAATCATAAAACCATGCCTGCACCAAGATCGTTCCAAGTACTATTGAAAGGTAGATTTAAGTGACTGAGCAGGTATATACAATATTTCTATTTCAATGATTCAGTCAAATGTATGACGCGATATACTTTGTAAGTACACCTGAAAACATCTGTTTTCCATGGTTTAGGAGAACAAGCAGCACTCCTTTTATAGCTTCATGCAATATAACTTAAATGCATGAGTTGCAGAGAAGACAGGATGTTTCTTACATCTTCAACTGTATTCCCCAATGTGCAAAAGCATCCCTTTCTCCAGCTCTAAACACTTCTGCTTTATTCAGGCTATCCATCAATAATGGAGAAATTTCAAGTAATACTAAGATTACAAACCCACTGCCATCATTATCAACAGTGAAAGCAGAACACACTTGCATTTAAGTGTTTTGCATAAAGAAAGTATCACAATTCTATAGCTTATTTTGACCTTTAGATTGCTATGTTCGGATTGCTTTCTTTTATACTCCAAGGGAGATAGGTTTCTAAGTTACTAGAGACCAAAGTCTAAGTCCAAAGTTTAGGAGTGGGCTACCCAAATTCATGTATATAAACAGCTATGTAAGACTTTTCCATTAAACAAAAACAACTAAACCCACACCAAATTGGAATATTAGTTAAAAAAAAAGATTATCCAAAATGCACAACAGAAAAGGAATTTTTTGGCTTGATGAACTAATCTAGAAGCACCTTGGAACAGTCTAAAAAAGAAAAAAAAAAAAACACACACACACCCACTCACCTTCATGTAATTTTACACTGTTCCATTTCCCTCTTTCTCAATTTGAAAGCTTTTGAATAGCTCTAAATTCTCACTTACTACATGCAGGACCAGCATTGACTTGCACTGCTTTAAGAAGAAGACAGGGTAAAATTGCCCTGAAACCCTTATTTTAATTAGTAAATGCAAAATTTTTGATGACTTATTTTTAGCATCTGATATGATACCAGGACTCATGCCTGCAGGAGTAACAGCCAAAACTTGAAAATAAAAAGCCAAAAAGAGACCAGAGATTCCTATTCCATATTTAGATGAGTATGAATTTACATGCATCAGTTTAGGCTTAGAACATGCAAAGTGTTAGCCTACAACTTTAAATTTATTAAAAAATGTAAAGAATTTAACTGATTAAAAATAAGCAGGAAAATACATTTGTTTTTAAATACCTTTCCTTTCTCTACACATCACCTTTAATATTCGCAAGGCAGGACAACAAAGGTAGCTTTTAACTAAAATAGCCTATCAAATTATCCAGAGCACTGAAAGGAGCAACTATATGCAACATAGAGTCTTTTATACTTGGCACCATGGAGAGCAGGAGCTGGCTAGGGAGGTCTGACAGTTTTAGTTTTGGAAAATGTTTGTTCCAGGTGAAAACAATCAAAAGGCGTGAGGCCTTCAACACGTGAGGCCTGTGTCGAAAAGGAAACACAGAATGGTTGCTGAAATTATACTCATACACACTAATAACGCTAGCTAAATTTAGAAGTTAAAGAACTACAAAAGCTGACAGCTAACCAAATTACAGTGTTAAACACAAAGAAAGTTATACCTCTGCTTGGAAGTCTACTTCATTGTCAGCTGCAATATTTAAATTTGAGACAGCATTGAAGAGTTCACGCTCATTAAGTGCTTCTGTCACACCTCCTTTCTGGAAGAACTATTCAATATAAAAAGCACACATTAAACAGAGTCTTTACTACATGATACACCGCTTTCCTTCTCCTTTCACAATTACTAATTTTTAGTCTGCCATGTTCATGTCTGTTGATCTACAGACAAGATAAAAACTGAAAGAAGTTTTCAATTTTAGTAGTTTCATTTTATTCATCTACAGTTTATTCCTCTTAGAGGAACACCATTCCATACTGACAGATTTCCAAGACTGACCTCATACATAAGTGATGATCATTTTAAAAATAAGAGTTGAATTGGTTGATTTTTATTAGCTTCAAATTGAACTGATGCTGCTTTCTTTGGAAAAAAGATTCAGTATAAGAGCAGATTGTCAGATGAAGATGTCCTACCTGTGAAACATTCCTACAGTCTCTGAACAAAAACTCAAGCCCATGAGGATGGGTTGGCTCAACAGACTGACTGACATCAATAAGCCAGACCTATAGTCAGAGGGAGACAGAGACCAACTCACTTGTATTTACATTTCACATTAGACAGAACCTTTGCTTCCCACATTAGGCATACACTACCTTTCCATCATGCCAAAGCATGTTGTATTCACTCAGATCAGCATGGACCAGATTGCACTCTTTATACAACCGTTGCATCATCTGTAAGGAACCAAGCCAATGTTAAACAGGTATATTCCAATCAACACTGTTTGCATGACCATAACAAAACAAAATCATTCCCCTCCACCACTACCACCCTACTTCATATCGTAATTTTTGAAGCCTACAGTAAAGTTTCATACAGACAATTGCAGTTTTAGTAAACTAACTGCAGGCTCAAGCTATTAATCGCTAAACTTAGTCTTGGTAAATCAGAAGAATCACGCTGGTAAACTCGTATCATCTCTGCCTATAAGTGCAAGTGAATTAGACAGAAAGTAGTTCTCTAAATATACCTATCATTCTCAGCCCTATCACAGGGGAAAGAAGTGTCACATTCCCCCCAACCCCATCCATACTTCCTTATTTATTCTAAGGATTACTGCTGTTTAAACAGTGACTTTGTACTCTGCATCTTGAAAGCGATGCAAGCATCCTGAAAAGCGCACAGATACTGATTTGTCCTTTAAGTTTCTTCCCCAAAAGAAAACAAAAGCCAGAACCTGGAGAAAAACCAGTCTTACATTAAGAATCTGATAGTAGGCCTTTTTCATATCTTCACTACTAAGTTTTACATCCTTTAGTTTAGGAGCTGGGACTTGATCCTGGCCAATGAAAGACATAACCAAGACATGTTTCTTAAGGATAACCACTTGAGGACAAGGTATTCCTGCATTTTGCATTCTGTGGAACAGAAAATAAGACACTGATTAAAAAATATATATTTATTTATTTATTTATACACAAAACACGTGTGTGTATTCTAGTTTCTGCTTACCCTTTTGGAGTCTTAAGGAGTGAAGAGCTATGTTTGAGCAATTTGATCCAGAGTCAAATATATCTATTCAGTATTTCACATAGGATAATTTGGATCCTAAAGTAGTGATAAAAAACCTCACTGAAAACTAACCGCTTTTAGAGCTAGAACCTGAGAATATCAAGGACTTATGAGTTTTGCTGCCAAATCCCTAAAGTTGCTGATAATTCATTAAACTGTCAGAAACCAGAAGCTTACTCAGTCTATGCCAGGTTTTAGGTTTATTTAACCTAAAAATCAAATACAGACTTTTACCCAGTCCTAGGGGATCTTTCTTAAAGAGGAAATAGGAAACCAATAGCATTTGATAACTACATTTTTTTGTACCTTGTCAAGTTGTGCATTTCTTTCTCAGCCCACATCCGAATAATCTTACGTGGATTCAATTTACTGAAGCGGTCTTTAAATCTGTAATCATCTTTAATATATTTGTCACGGTTCTTGAATTCATTAAGAGTTGTTTTAAACACTTTGATGGCACATTCTGGAGGTATAACTTTATCATCTTCATTTGTACTTCTGGTGGAAAAAGTCAAATATATAGCAGAGTTAACTATTCACTCACATCCTTAGAAACACACACAGGGTTTTGTTTTAACGTCGTCAGATACAGTGATTTTTAAGTGCAGGAGAAGAAAAGAGCTGACATTGTATCAAGTTTGAAAACCACTTCAAGTTAAATTTGCAAGAGTTCTACGATTAAGTTTAGATCTTGAATGTTTGATTTTTGGAATTTCAATTATATGCTGCTTATTAAATAGGCTCTGTTTCCCAATATGTTAACAACTTGTTAGTAGTGATTCCTAACTAAGCTATTCAGAGCAGCCCTGTGGATGCTGATATGATTATTTCAGACACATTACAAATGAAGTAAATCGTTGCATTAGAACTATAACCCTAGTTGCACTGTTTTTTGGCAAGCATCACAACAGATACGGCCAGTTGAATAATAATGACCAATGGAATCCTCTTGAATATCATTCAAATAGAGGTCAGAAAATACAGATTTTTTTTTCCTACTATTCATCTCTCCCCCTCACATTTGTAAACAGGTTATTTGTATTTGGATTTTATTAGTTCTTACTTAACATGCTTTAAATTAGCGGTGTTAATTGTAATTTCAATATTGAGCGGCAAACACTAACGCACTCCAATCCTTCCAGTATGGCAGCCTGGAGTCTTACATGATTTTCAAAGGGAACAACATCCCAACGCTACTCTCAAGCTATTCTAAAAGTAACAAAGATCACCTCCACTAAACTGCACAGATGGAGGTGGGAGCCAATAACACAGTGATCTGTACAGAAAGACATCTTCAGGTGGACAGAGATCATCGTGACAGCTCCCTAGCCTGGGGTAGGTCAGTGGAAATAGTTCCCAAAAAATCTCAAACGCTTATTAGTGTGTATATGAAAGTTTTCTACAGAAGTTATAGTGGATTTGTCCCTGTTCATTAAATACCCTCCAGGGAAAAAAAGTAGAGATTGTTTGCTTTAAATTGGGTAAAGCTGTCTTTCAGAATTTATCATCATCTGTGTATATGTTAATACAAGTGTCAAATCTTGGGAAAGAGATCGAAAAGGCAGAATGTTTAAAGTATTTCTGTGGTTTTCCCTTTTCATACTATTTGACAGTTAAGAGTAGTGTCAATAACAAATAATATACATACTTTCCTCCATATGCATGAAAAACAACAGATTCTTTTCCTGTGCTGATGCAGCCCGTTATGGTCTCTAGCATCCCAGCATTGACCATCTTGTACAGAAGTAAACGTGTCTTCGGATCCACTGCTTTCTCCTACAAGTAGGAAAGGAACAGTCAATTCATTAAGGTCATTAAGGTAAAGCAAAAGGATTGTTTCAGTTGTTAATATACTATAGATGTCTAACTAGGTGGAAAGAGTAACATATTAATTGATAGGAAAAAACTCAAACGAAGCAAAGTTAAACTATTGCAGCACTGTTATCTTTACTCCTTAAGATTTAATACTCTTAGGCAGATTGTAAGCTGTGCAGCGGAGTATTTTACCAATTCAGCATATAGTATAGACACTGTTATTGCTTGAGAGCACTTATAAAGGTTTTTTCAGTCTTCAAAATAGTGAATCACAATATCCTAAATATTATATTCCTTTTACACCAGTAACAGTAAGATTAAAAAAACACCCAGGTTTAAAAAGGGTCAGCCACAGGAATTACGAGAGGCTCCACTCAAGACTGGGCCTACAAAGCATAACAACTGACTTCCTAAATTATTAAATTGTGGAGTTTAACTGGTCACCTCATCTTCCTGACAGGATTACCAGAACAGTCTTCAGTTGTTACAAAAGGTAAAGGATATAATAAAAAAAAAAAGTTAAAAACATACAGCAGTCGAGTGCTCCTTCTTTTCATGGAGCCTTGCACTTCGACGTTCCTCAGAGTACGCATGTTGCTTTAAGGCATTGAAGACTTGATTGGACAGCTTTAAGTCCATCCCAATTCCATCCCCAACTTGGAATTCAGGTGCAAACTATAAGCACATATAATAGAAGTTTAAGCATTACTACTAGCAGACACCAAAAGGGGGGGGGAAGGGGGGGAGAAACCACAACAACAACATTTGCATAAGCAGAAGTTTCTCATTCTGATCTGCAAAAGCTTAAGGTAAATTAGGACCCAAGTGTTCCACAAAGTGGGTTTCACAGAGGTTAAAAACACATTGGTCTAAATTCAGAAATCAAAATTCTGCCTCAAATGATAGGAGATAACCTACCATCCTCTAAAAATAGCACTTGCCACATTTCCTTATTTTCAGAAGTTGTACCAGTTAAATCAAGGTAGATTTAAAGCATGTGCTTTAAAATAAACAGAAAAAGCTGTACATAAAACAACCGACTGAAAACAAGTTGCTTGGGTGAGCATACAAAATGAACTCAAAAAGTTTAGATTACGTGACGGCTATAGTTTGCAAGAATAATATTGATGTTTTCCTTGCTCAGGTACCAATCTTGCTGGTAACTTTATCAAAACAGTTTTGCGCAAGTTTTTGAACCTTTCTATTAGCATACTTAACAACATTTAACAATCAACAACATATTAAACAGCAGAAAATGCACAATCCAAATTCCTGCTTTGAATAACTAATCTAAGCGTTACACTGCTTTCATTTCTTTTGCGGGGGGGGCAGACAGTGAACAGTAGCACAAACACCAGTGCTTTAGTGTTTTACAGCATTCCAAGTATTTTTATAAAAGACATTATGTATTTTATAAAATACATTTTTATATACATAACATACAATAAATTCTCTGAAGTTTTCAATTTTTCACTTACATTTTCCATGCGAGCAGTGTTCTTTCTTCCACATACCACTTCATCATGTTTAGTGGTAATGTCTTTTCCCTTTCCAATGAAGCCCCTTTTTGGGGTGGTAGTAGGTTTATCTGCCAGTAGCAAAAAACTAGAGTCAAACTTTACATCTAAATAAATATAACGAATGTTCATAAAAGTTCCACGAAGCCCTCAGAAGTTGTATAGTTTTTATTTATTAAAAAGAATCAACTACTTGAGTTTTCTGATCTTAACAGTCTTCTCTTCCCTCGTCCTAAAGGTGTCAACTTCTTTTGCTATATCATGACTACTTTCATGCCTACTGTGGGGTGTCAGACATACTTCTGGCACATTACAAATATAATATTTTATATGATGTGCAGACGCCCAATGCCTACTCTGGCTAGATGTAGGCCGACAGACATACTTATCCCACAATACAGTTCATATATGAAAATTATTTTTTCAGACTTATCCACTGAAGTCAGAATACTAAGAGAGAGAAATCTGAAGTTATCAGACTAACTTTCTGCACAGCATCTCACAATTAGATGAGCTGTTTTCCTTACAATTGGTCCCCCTATATTCAGGGGGATCCAAGTATGGCATTTTCTTAGGTCTAAATAAGCAACAGGAAATTTTTGTATTGTTTAGAATTGCCACATACCTGCTCTATAAGGATCATGTCGGGTATCCTGCCAATCAACCTCATCCTCTGAACTGTCACTATCAAAGGGATGCACCTTCCGATAATTTTCGAAGGATATGGAGACTTGAGAAACAAAACAAACACGCATGTTTGCGGTTATCAGAGATTCATTACCTCCTCACAGCTCTGTCATCTTAAACAGAATGCCACAAAATACCTCCAAAACAACGATATCGCCTTTGATAAGAGTACCTTTGCTATCTCCATTGAACTTCTTCTCTTCACGCCGAAGCTGTGCATCATATTCCCTGTCAAATTCCATCTGCAGCATCTGAGCTAGCATTAGGTCACTAGAGGTGTCGATATTTTCTCCTGTAATAAATGGTCCTTCAGCAACACTGTGTAACACAAAACAGGAATGAAACCAAAACCTTAGCTAAAAACAGTAATCTAAACACAAACGCTATTTTATATAATTTCATTACCTCATACAAAAGATCTAATGCAAACCTGCACAGAAACTAATGGGTCTTAACAGAAAAGTCTCTAAGGAGTAGCAGAGCTCCATTTTTCTCCATTTCTCTCTTTACCACTCCTTTACAGCGCAAGTGTTACCTCAATGCCTTTATTTAACATTCTGTAAGAAACAACAGGTTCTAGTTTTAAGATGCCCTTCATGACAAAGAAGGCTTACAACTGAAAAAGAAAAAAAAAAAATCAGTGCTGCATTGCTCTGCTTCACAGGAAAGATCATACGTAGAAAGTATCATATGAATTTAGAAGTAGGAAGCTCTCGGGTTGCGTTTTGAACTTCCAAATACTGAGAAGATACAAATGATAACGTCCACGAACAGGCAGTTTTCCAGATAACCTAGTACATTGCTAACAAGAGTCTTTAAAAAAAAGAAGAAAAACATTTTTGACAAAGTTTCCCAAAATATAGCTTATGGATTTGCTGAAAGCACCTAAAGCCCTGAAGAAAGCATCATGAAAGGAACAGTAACAGTAAAGAAGCCATTAGGAAAAGTTTTAACAAGATTTTAACAGAATTATACTGCAAGAAGTTCCACAAAAGACAGATGTTGACTTGACAGCCATGAAGATTACTAATCCAAGATTTAAACTTACGCAACCACTTCAGGAAAAGCAGCATTTTCTTCTTCCAGCTGCAATTCTTTTGCCAGCTGTTCACTCATTACATCAGCAAGGGAACATGATATTGATGTAGGCTTAGGCGCTCCCCACGGACACTGTAAAGTAAACAAACAAAAAAAATTACTCAGGTTGGCAAGAAGATTTAGAGTCAACCTCCCATAATCTCCATAACTAGATATCACCAGCTTTAAAGCAAGCTGATACAGGCACACAAGGTTTTGTCTTCTACACGCTCTTAGGGAAGTATTATTTTCTAAAGTACAGGAAATACCTCAAGGAGAGATTTCATAAACTCTGTAAAGAAAAGCGTGATTCAAAGGGTGCTCACAGTCAGTTACTAACGGCAAAAAAGAAGGAAAAGAAACGCCAGCCCAGTTTGTTGGTTTCAGTACCCTCTGGAGGCATGGGGGAAGCGTGGGTACTGAACATCAAAACAGTACACAAAGTTAGCTTACACATCGTCCCCGCCAAACTCCTCTTGGGATAACACGCCAACAACTCGCACGCGAGCTCCCCCCGACTTCGGGGGCCCTGACAGGACAGCCATCGCACGCACGCCTTCACCACGCACCAACACACACACACAGAGCTTGGGTTTGGGCAGAGACAGACACCCAGGCCAGCCCTGACTCACGGCGCTGATAACCAGACACCCTCTGCCCCCCCGGCCGAGCTGGCCGAGCGGTGACTCACTTATCAGGGCCCAGCAGCA